CCTCGTGATCCACCTGCCTCGGCCTCCCAAAGTGCTGGGATTATAGGCGTGAGCCACGCGCCTGGCCATTTTTTATTGCCAAGTAGTGTTCAGGTTTATAGATAAATTACAATTTGTTTAATCATTTTCCTGTTGATGTGCATTTAGGTTGTTTTAAGGTTTGGGCTGTTATAAATAAAGCTACCATAAACATTCATGTACAAAATAAATAAATGAATAAATACATAAATTAAAACAAACTGATCATCAATGTCTATTTCACAGGTTATTGTGGAGATAAAATGAGAGTAATTTGAAAACTTTAGTTTGAAAGCTTGAACACTACATAAATGGTGCACTAGTTATGTCAATCCATTTCCACTAGATGGCAGTAGAACTCGCCAAAAACCACTCAGCTCTGCAGGCTGTTGGAGAGCACACATTTTCAGGAAATGACTTACCTAGTCTTGGTTCTGTGATTATATTGAAATGTGGTTGGAGTTTTTGTACGATTTCAAGTGAATGAACTACCTGCTTGAGCTTAGAAATATATTTTTTTGATGTGGATTGTGAAAAACGATTATTCTTTGTGATATTCCACACACCCCTGTTCCACACCCCTCTCCCTCAGTTTCCTTCTTCATCTTTGAATGTGCACATCTTTTTTTTTTTCTTTTTTAATTTTTGAGACAGAGTCTCACTCTGTTGCCAAGGCTGGAGTGCAATGGCGTCATCTCTGCTCACTGCAACCTCTGCCTCCTGGGTTCCCGTGATTCTTCTGCCTCAGACTCCTGAGTAGCTGGGACTACAGGTGTGCACTATACCATGCCTGGCTATTTTTTTTTTTTTGTATTTTTAGTAGAGATGGGGTTTCGCTATGTTGGCCAGGCTGGTCTCAAACTCCTGGACTCAAGTGATCTGCCCGCCTCGGCCTCCCAAAGTGCTGGGATTACAGGTATGAGCCACTGTGCCCGGTCCCATCTTCATTTTTGGATGTGCACATCTTCGGAAGTGCTTTAACCTAACCCCTTGTTATTCAACCTGTGGTCCAAGGACCAGCAGCAGCAGCTTCACCTGGGAGTTTGTGGACAGGTGGAATTCTGGGCCTTGCCCTAGACTCACTGAATCGGAGTGATCCATACGGACATCACAGTTTGAGAAACACTGCTTTAGCCACATGGAATCTCTTGGAATTCTCTAAAGGAGTCATGCCGGCCTTTGCACATGCTGGTCTTCCCAAGTCAGAAATACCACTTTCTCTATCCGCTAGGCAAGTTGGCCTCTTATTTACCCTTCTCATTTAACTCATCGTGAGGGAACCCGCAAAAGAAGAAAGATAGGGGAGACTGGGAAATATATAGTCAGTGGGAAAAAGAATGCTGGGATAAGATTGCAAAATGAAATATAACACTGCTTGACATTCACAGCACAATGAAATGGTAACCTTTGGAGATATCTTTTCTGCCTAACAAAATCATTTGCCACTTATTTTTCATAAACTAGCATCTAACTTTAAAGACTCCGGGCCCTGTCAATGGTAAAGAAAGGAAATGAACAACTTCCATGCCAGCTTTTTAGACAGTACTCTAGTATGACTTTGAAAGGATATATTTGGAGGAAACATTAGGATAATTTTTCTTAAAAGTTTAAACGGCCGGGCGCGGTGGCTCAAGCTTGTAATCCCAGCATTTTGGGAGGCCGAGGCGGGTGGAGCACGAGGTCAAGAGATCGAGACCATCCTGGTCAACATGGTGAAACCCCGTCTCTACTAAAAATACAAAAAATTAGCTGGGCATGGTGGCACGTGCCTGTAATCCCAGCTACTCAGGAGGCTGAGGCAGGAGAACTCAGGAGGCGGAGGTTGCCGTGAGCCAAGATCGTGCCATTGCACTCCAGCCTGGGTAACAAGAGTGAAACACTGTCTCAAAAAAAAAAAAAAAACTGCAACCTCTACCTCCCAGGTTCAAGAATTTCTTCTGCCTCAGGCTCCAGAGTAGCTGGGATTACAGGAGTATGGGAACATGCCCGTTAATTTCTGTATTTTTAGTAGAAACAGTGTTTCACCATGTTCACCAGGCTGGTCTCGAACTCATGACCTCAAGTGATCCACCCACCTTTGCCTCCCAAAGTGCTGGGATTATAGGCATGGGCCACCGTGCCTAGCCTGTCTTCAGCTTTTTCACACACTCTCAGTGCCATCAGCACAGCCAAGCAGCACCCCCTTCCCAGGGGTCTGAGTCCCGGCTTTCCAGGACCTCTCCTCCAAATTTCTAGTTCTGAGAATCCCAACCTATTCCCTCTGTTCCCCTAGACTGAGGCATGATACCTACTTCCTAAAGGTTTTATCTTTGTGTTACCTCGTTTTCCCTTTCTGCTCTTTTCAGTTCTCCCAACTGGATTAGCCAATCTCTTATATTAAATTATCTGTGGTGAAATACCATTAAGCCTTGTGTTTTCCAGACTAAACCTGTACTAAGTCTACTAAGTCTAGTAAGGGTCTAGTCTGGAATGTTACAGAATCATTTGACACATAGGCATAAGAAGCAGAAAAAAAAAAATGGATCTGCTAATGCACTAACTTTTTTTTTTTTTTGAGACGGAGTTTTGCTCTTGTTACCCAGGCTGGAGTGCAATGGTGCGATCTCGGCTCACCGCAACCTCCGCCTCCTGGGTTCAGGCAATTCTCCTGCCTCAGCCTCCTCAGTAGCTGGGATTACAGGCACGCACCACCATGCCTAGCTAATTTTTTGTATTTTTAGTAGAGACGGGGTTTCACCATGTTGACCAGGTTGGTCTCGATCTCTCGACCTCGTGATCCACCCGCCTCGGCCTCCCAAAGTGCTGGGATTACAGGCTTGAGCCACCGCGCCCGGCTTTTTTTTTTTTTTTTTTTTTTTTTTTTTTTTTTTTTTTTTTTTGACAGAGTCTCACTCTGTCACCCAGGCTGGAGTGCAGTGGCACCATCTTGGCTCACTGCAACCTCCACCTCTTAGGTTTAAGCAATTCTTATGGCTCAGCCTCCTGAGTCACTGGGACTATAGGTGTGTACCATCATGCCCAAGCTAATTTTTGTATTTTTGGTAGAGATGGGGCCAGGCTGGTCTTGAACTGCTGGCCTCAAGTGATATACCTGCCTCAGCCTTGCAAAGTGCTGGGATTACAGGCATGAACCACCATGCCTGGTCAAGTTTTTTTTTTTTTTTTTTAAAGATGGGGTTTCACCATGATGGCCAGGCTGGTTTGAGCTCCTGACCTTAGGTGATTCACCCACCTTGGCCTCCCAAAGTGCTAGGATTACAGGCGTGAGCCACCATGCCCAGCCATCTGGTCAAGTTTTTTTGGCATGGTCTCATTTTGCCACCGAGGCTGGAGTGCAGTAGCTTGATCTCGGTCACTGGCCACACATGGCTAAGTTCTGTACTTTTTGTAGAAACGGGGTTTTGCCATGTTGCCCAGGCTCCTCTCAAACTCCTGAGCTCAAGTGATCCACTGGGCTCAGCCTCCCAAAATGCTGGGACTAGAGGCGTGAGCCACCACACCTGGCCGTAATGCACTAACTTGCTCAGCCTCTTCGGCAAAAATTATTTCTTACAGAAATAGTGAGTAGAATCGTAGTTACTAGAGGCTGGGAAGGATGGAGGATAGGGAGGGGTTGGTTAAAGTATACAAAATTACAGCTAGGTAGGAGGGATAAGTGCAAGTGTTTATAGCATTGTAGGGTGCCTACAGTTAACAATAATTTACTACGAAGGTAGAGCATGGTGGTTCAAGCCTGTAATCCCAGCACTTTGGGAGGCCCAGGTGGGCGGATTGCTTGAGCCCAGGAGTTTGAGACTAGCCTGGGCAACATGGTGACAACTCGTCTCTACAAAATATGCAAAAATAAGCTTGGCATGGTGGCATATGTCTGTGGTCCCAGCTACTTGGGAGGGAGGCTGACGTGGGAGGATCGCTGGAGCCTGGGAGGTGGAGGTTGCAGTGAACTGAGACCGTGCCACTGCACTCCAGCCTGGGCAACAGAACGAGACCCTGTCTGAAATTTATAATAATAACTTATGACGTATTTTCAAGTAGCTAGATAAGAGGATTTTGAATGTTCTCAACACAAAGTAATAATAGATGTTTGAGGTGATTAATATGCTAGTTATCCTGTTTTGATCACTACACGTTGTATGCATCCAAATATCCCTATGTACCCCCATAAATATGTACAATCATTGTGTCAACTAAAATAATTTAAAAATATATTTAAAAAGGGAAAGACTGAACGCTTCCTGAGAGCAGGGACCTCCTTTGTCGAGGTCAAGGCTGTGTCTTCACCAACAAAACACTTCCTGGGACCTAGTAGATGCTTAAGAAATAGGAGTTGGGCCGGGCACGGTGGCTCACGCCTATAATTCCAGCACTTTGGGAGGCCGAGGCGGGTGGATCAGGAGGTCAAGAGATCGAGACCATCCTGGTCAATATGGTAAAACCCCGTCTCTACTAAAAACACAAAAATTAGCTGGGCATGGTGGCACGTGCCTGTAGTCCTAGCTACTCGGGAGGCTGAGGCAGGAGAATTGCCTGAACTCAGGAGGCGGAGGTTGCGGTGAGCAGAGATCGCGCCATTGCACTCCAGCCTGGGTAACAAGAGCGAACTCAGTCTCAAAAAAAAAAAAGAAATAGGAGTTGATTGACAGCACTCCCAAGAGCTCCACGAGGGCTCCCTAGGCCTTTCACAGGTTCTTGTACGCTGGAGGGAGAGGTCCATCTCGGCTGGGAGGAGAGGAAGTGGGGGAACAATCGTCCCCTCCTCTACCCCTCCGACTCCCTCCTTTCCCACGGCCCCCTCCGCCATCCTTCTACCTTTCTCCCCTTTCCGGCTCTTCCCTGTTCTTCCCCACCCTTCCCGGCTCCTCGTCCCGCCGCCCCTCCTGCCCCGGCCACCTACCGCTGCCCTTCCTCCCACTCGCCCTTCCCCGCCCTCCCCGCGCCCGGACGCGCGAGCGCCCCCTGCGAGTGGCGAGGGCTCCCGAGCGCAGGGGCCCGACGGCGGGCGGCGGAGGATGGCGCAGGCGATGCTGCGTTGGGCTCTGCTGCTTGTGGCCGTGACTTTCGCAGGTAGCGCTCGGAGCAATCCTGACGAGCCAGGACCTCCGGAGGAGCGCGGGAGAGGGAGTCACGCCGGCGGCGGCCCCTGCCCGGCTCCGGGCGGCCTCGGCGACGGTACCCCCGCATCCGTTACTGGCGGTTCCCCAGCGTACTTGCTAGGTGGAGGGGCGCGAACCCTGGGGTGTGGGGGTGGCGTTGTGGAGTCAGCCGCCCTCTTTAGTTCTTGCTTGGGCTTAGCTCCCAGCTCCAAGGGACACCTGCTGTCTAGGGGGCTTTCTCTGTTAAAGTAGATTTTCTGGTACCCAAAATGAGAAGTTGGGTTTTAAGGTATGGCCCCCACGGGACCCCAACAGGAGATGGGCAGGAGTGAGGAACTGTGGATGCTGATAAGAAAGGGGCTTTTGTCTAACCACACTGGACACCTCTCTTAAAATGGAGTTTAAATGCTCCTATCTTGTATTAAAATTTGTATTTGTTACCCCGATTTGCAAAGGAAAAGACCATCATGAACTATTAATTAAGGGTTACTTCCTGGGCCGGTGCGGTGGCTCAGGCCGGTAGTCCCAGTTACCCCGGAGGCTAAGGTGGGAGGTTCACTTGAAACCAGGAATTGAGGCCGCGGTGCGCTATCCAGACTTTTATTCCATAGCTTCAAAGTCCTTTCTCAACCAAACCTAAAGAGAACAGAACCAGATGTTATTTCTATGTGCTTGCGGAGAGAAGTGCCATAAAAAACAGAGTATCCTTTCTGGCAGAAGTGGGAATGGAACAGTTCAAAGAAAGTAGGCCTTAGAGAGGCAAATAGAAGATGTGGCCTGGATAAATCCCAAACTGGACTTTAAAACATCCTCATGAGGCTGGTCGTGGTGGCTCAGGCCTCAAATTCCAGCACTTTGAGAGGCCTAGGGAGGAGGATCGCTTGAGCCCAGGAGTTCAAGACCAGCCTGGGCAACTTAGGAAGAACTTACTAAAAAAAAAAAAATCTTATGAACAATACCTTACCTTGATCCCATACTGCAAAATGTCTATGCTTTCTTCTTGCAGGCACTCTGGCCCCTCGATTTGGTCAGGCTTCAGAATATAGAACGGTAAGTAGGAAACCACTTGTATTGTTTCTAATAATACAGTGAAGCCCAAAACCGTTTGGGAGGGAGGCTGGTTTTCAGGTCTGACCTACCGCTTTTGAAAACCATTGAGGACTGCGTTTAAAACCAGGTTCTCAGGCAGGCCTTTTGATTCAGATAAAAGTGTACATTTTAGTTGCAAACCGCTCAGTCTTTGTGTTAATATTTCTTTTAAAGATTCAGGCCGGGCGCGGTGGCTCAAGCCTGTAATCCCAGCACTTTGGGAGGCCGAGGCGGGTGGATCAGGAGGTCAAGAGATCGAGACCATCCTGGTCAACATGGTGAAACCCCATCTCTACTAAAAATACTAAAAATTAGCTGGGCATGGTGGCGTGTGCCTGTAATCCCAGCTACTCAGGAGGCTGAGGCAGGAGAATTGCCTGAACCCAGGAGGCGGAGGTTGCGGTGAGCTGAGATCGCGCCATTGCACTCCAGCCTGGGCAACAAGAGCGAAACTCAGTCTCAAAAAAAAAAAAAAAGATTCAAAAGGTCCTTGGAAAAATAGTTATGCCTCGTACTAGACATTGTATACACTTTATCAAATTAAATTCTGAGGATGGACATGGAGAGCAACCGACTGAGAACAAGCAAAGGCTATTTTGTTCAGGGCTTGGTATGGCAAGGAGTCAGCCACTGTCACTTGCATTTCAGTAGGGACTTGAGTCAAAGAGAGAAGTGGGAAAACTATAGTGGAAGATAGGAATGGTTTCAGGTATGGCCTGACTGGAGGCTGTTGGCACGGGGATGCTGCAGGTGGGCTAATTAGAAGCAGGACATTCTATGGTATTGGTTAGGGTTGCATATTTGGTTTTCTCTGATAGTTCTAAGTTGGAATCGAGGACAGAAATTAGGGAAGCTGTCAGTTAGTAATCAAGTCCTAACCATTTTGCAGCCGGGCACGGTGCTCGCGCCTGTAATCCCAGAACTTTGGGAGGCTGAGGCGGGTGGATCACCTAAGGTTAGGAGTTTGAAACTACCCTGGCCAACATGGTGAAACCTTGTCTCTACTAAAAATACAAAAAAAATTAGCCGGGCATGGTGGCACATGCCTGTCATCCCAGCTACTGGGGAGGCTGAGGCAGGAGAATTGCTTGAACCCAGAAGGTGGAGGTTGCAGTGAGCCAAGATCACACCACTGCACTGTAGCCTGGATGACAGAGTGAAGCTCCATCTCAAAATAATAATAATAATAATAATAATAATAATAAAAAATAAAAAGTCCCAGCCATTTTGGGCTGACGATTAAATGGGTTATTGTTTGGCTTTCTGGACTATCACTAGAGAGAGCAATCTGATTTCCTACAAGTCTGACTTATAGCCTGCTGACCTCCTGGGCTGATTATTCTGAATAATGGTTCGGGTTCCTGGGCAGGTTGCTACAGGTTGTGGGTCAGAGTTCTGTTTTATATAAGGTCTAGTCATTGTATATTTGGTCTCTCAATTTTCACAATGCCATTGTAAGATAGACATTATTTGACATATGAGGGTATTGACTTCAGTAGGTTAACTTTGAGAGTTCAGCTCATAGTAGACCTCTTCCTTCCAGGAAGCCTTCCCACCCTACTCCCTTCCTCCAAAGCAGAGATATATACACACACTTTCTCTGTGTTACCTATACTGCATCATCATCACCATTATAACAGTGAATACTTAGATACCTACATGCCACACCAGTGTTCTAAATGCTTCATGTATAATAACTAATTTCATCTTTCACAGTACTGTGAGGTAGGGAACATTAGTTGGTTATTAGCTCTTTGGTCAAGGTCACATGGAAGTGGTGGAGCTATGCTTCAAATCCAAGCAGTCTGACTCCAGATCCAGTGCTTTTCTCTACCCCATCATAGCATTAGATTGTAATTGCCTGTTTGCCTGTTTCTTGCAGGAAACTGTGTATGCCTGTTGTCAGGGATAATGTCTTATTTGCTATTCGGTGCTCAGTCTTCAGCATCTCATGGATGCCCAGTAACACTTTTAGCCAGTGATTCAGTTTGCTTGGTTTGATTTTCTTTTAGAAAATGGGAATTATGGCCTGGCATGGTGGCTCACACCTGTAATCTCAGCACTTTGGGAGACTGATGTGGGTGGATCACAAGGTCAGGAGTTTGAGACCAGCCTGACCAAGATGGTGAAACCCCCTCTCTACTAAAAATACAAAAATTAGCTGGGCACAGTGGTGAGTGCCTGTTATCCCAGCTATTTGGGAGGCTGAGGCAGGAGAATCGCTTGAACCCAGGAGGCAGAGGTTGCAGTGAGCCGAGGTCGTGCCATTGCACTCCAGCCTGGGTGACAGAGCAAGACTCCATCTCAAAAAAAAAAAAAAAAAGATTAAAAAAAAAGAAAATGGGAATTATGGTACCTTTGTTTCAAGGCTGGGATTAGGGTGACTGAGATCCTACATGCAGAATTTAAGAAGGCATTCATACTCAGGAGCTAAGGCCAGTGCTATAGGACCTGCTGTCTATTTTTTTTTTTTTTTTTAAATATGGATCTCACTCTGTCACCCAGGCTAGAGTTCAGTGGTCAGAGCTCTGCTCACTGCAACCTCTGCCTCCCGGGTTAGAGTGATTCTCCTGCTTCAGCCTCCTGAGTAGCTAGGACTATAAGCATGTGCCACTACACTCAGCTAATTTTTTTGTATTTTTAGTAGAGGCAGGGTTTCACCCTGTTGGCCAGGCTGACCTCAAGGGATCTACCCACCTCAGCCTCCCAAAGTGCTGGGATTACAGGTGTAAGCTACCTCCTGAACTGGACCTGCTATCGTTTGACAGGATCGTTGAAAGGATGACCCACACAAGAGACCTTTGGTTTGGCTGGTTTTCGTGCAGCGGTGTTTACAGCTAATTGATCACAACCACAGATTTCCCTGTTCCTTTTCCATTCTTCTGCTTCACTTGACCAGCCTTAAGAAAAAAAAAGAAAGAGAAAGATTTTTTTTTTTTTTTTTTTTTTTTTTTTGTATTTTTAGTAGAGACGGGGTTTCACCATGTTGACCAGGATGGTCTCGATCTCTCGACCTCGTGATCCACCCGCCTCGGCCTCCCAAAGTGCTGGGATTACAGGCTTGAGCCACCGCGCCCGGCCAGAGAAAGATTTTTTGTTGTTGTTTTTGTTTTGTTTTGTTTTTTCCCCGATTTCTATTGCCACTGCTCTAATTTAGGGCCCCCATTATCTCTCACCTAGATTAACATAGTGGCTTTTCAATGGATTTTCCCCAGCCTTTTGGTATCTTCACTTTCCAGTTCCAGTTCCTGCTACACACTGCTGCTACAATTAGTCTCCAAAACCTTGACTGTAGCATGTCTCTGTGCAAAGTCTTCAAGGACTTCTCATTGCCCACAGAGAAAGTCTAACCTCATTAACACAGCCTGCTTTTCTACCTGTACCTTCTGGTGCTTTCTCATAGTTTATCCTCCTTTATCCTTACTGCCACACTGTTTGATTACTGTAGGGTTTTTTTTTTTTTTTTTTTTTTTTTTTTTTTTTTTGAGACAGAGTTTTGCTCTAGTTGCCCAGGCTGGAGTGCAGTGGCATGATCTCAGCTCACTGCAATCTCTGCCTCCTGGGTTCAAGTGATTCTCCTGCCTCAGCCTCCTAAGTAGCTGGGATTACAGGCGTGTGCCACCATGCCGGGCTAATTTTGTATTTTTAGTAGAGACAGGGTTTCTCCATGTTGTTCAGGCTGGTCTGGAACTCCTGACCTCAGGTGTTCCGCCTGCCTTGGCCTCCCAAAGTGCTGGGATTACAGGTGTAAGCTACTGCACCTGGCTTCTTTTTCAAGAATGTTTGACTATTTGGAATCCCTTACCTTTCCATCTGAATTTTCAGATCAATTTGTCAGTTTCTGCTGCTGCTGCTGCAAAAAAAAGACACCTAAGATTTTGATAGGGATTGCATTGAATTTGTATATCAATTTGGAGAATATTGCCATCTTAAAAGTGTTAGGTCTTCTGATACATGAACATGGGGTGTCTTTCTATGTATTTAGGCCTTTAATTTCTTTCAACAATGCTTTGCGGTTTTCAGTATACATGTCTTAAAGTTTGTAAATATTTATATTTAAGCATTTATTATTCTTATTTGTTTAAGACAGAGTCTCACTCTGTTGCCCAGGCTGGAGTGTAGTGGAGCCATCTCCACTCACTGCAACCTTCACCTCACAGGTTCAAGCAAGTCTTCTGACTCAGCTTCCCAAGTGGCTGGATTACATACAGGCTCCCGCCACCATGCCTGGCTAATTATTGTGTATATATACACATTTTATTTATTTATTTATTTATTTATTTATTTATTTATTTTTTGAGACAGACTCTTACTCTGTAGCCCAGGCTGGAGTGCAATGGTGTGATCTCGGCTCACTGCAACCTCTGTCTCCTGGGTTCAAGCAGTTCTCCTGCATCGGCCTCCCAAGTAGCTGGGACTACAGGCACCTGCCACCATGCCTGGCTAATTTTTATATTTTTAGTAGAGATGGGGTTTCACCATATTGGCCAGGCTGTCTTGAACTCCTGACCTTGTGATTTGTGCACCTTGGCCTCCCAAAGTGCTGGGATTACAAGCATGAGCCACTGCACCTGGCCAAGAATTATTTTTACTTTTATTTTTTTGAGACAGAGTTTTGCTCTTGTTGCCCAAGCTGGAGTACAAAGGCGCAATCAGATCTCAGCTCACTGCAACCTCCACCTCCCAGGTTCAAGCAATTCTCATGCCTCAGCCTCTTGAGTAGCTGGGATTACAGGCATCCACCACCATGCCTGGCTAATTTTTTTGTATTTTTAGTAGAGACGAGGTTTCACCATGTTGGCCAGGCTGGCCTTGAACTCCTGACCTCAGGTGATCCACCTGCCTTGGCCTCCCAAAGTGTTGGGATTACAGGCAGGAGCCACCACACTCTGCCCTTCTATAATAATTAAAATGACATTAAGGAATAATAAATGTGCAGTGGCCCTCTTCCAGAGACTGGAGAGGAAGTTTTGGGGAAATGTCTGCCCAGATTGAACTCTCTTCCTGTAGTTAGTATCTTGTGGTGTGAAATTTGGAGCCTCCGTCGATGATGAACCTATTTTGAACATTTTTCCTTTGGCACAAATTTGCTTCAATTGTGAATCTCCTGCTTTCTTTAATGTTTTTGGTTAAATGTCAGTGCCTTTTTTTTTTTTTTTTAAGATGGGGTTTCACCAAGATGGGCTGGTCTAGAACTCCCAACCTCAGGTGATCCACCCACCTTGGCCTCCCGAAGTGTTAGGATTACAGGCGTGAGCCACCGCGCCTGGCCAAATGTCAGTGTCTTAAAAATTCAGACTGAAAGGTAGACTGAAAGGTGAGATTCCTGATTTTGTCTTGGCATTAAGCCAAGGGATTAAGATGGAATTTAATAGAACATACACATGGAGATTTTAGTGAAGTGCAAATTATGAAGCTAGATGATAATAAAGTAGGTATGGTGAAATGTCTCAGACTTTCATTTAAAAATCAGTCAGATTGGCCATGTATGGTGGCTCACGCCTGTAATACCAGCGCTTTGGAAGGCCAATGTGGACAGATCACAAGGTCAGGAGTTCAAGACCAACCTGGCCAATATCATAAAACCCCGTCTCTACTAAAAATACAAAAATTAGCTGAGTGTGGTATTACATGCCTGTAGTCCCAGCTACTTGGGAGGCTGAGGCAGAAGAATTGCTTGAACTTGGGAGGTGGAGGTTGCAGTGAGCCAAGATGATGTCACTGTACTCCAGCCTGGGAGACAGAGCAAGACTGTCTCAAAAAAAAAAAAAAAAAAAAAAAAAAAAAATCAGCCAGATTGAATTCTCTGAAGTCCTTTTTTTTTTTTGAGACAGAGTTTTACTCTTGTTGCCCAGCCTCCACCTCCTGGGTTCAAGTGATTCTCCTGCCTCAGCCCCCTGAGTAGCTGGGACTGCAGGCATGTGCCACCATGCCCGGCTAATTTTGTATTTTTTTTTTTTTTTTGTAGAGATAATTTTGTATTTTATTTTTGTAGGGATAGGGTTTCTCCATGTTGGTCAGGCTGGTCTCAAATTTCCGAGCTCAGGTGATCCGCCTGCCTCAGCCTCCCAAAGTGCTGGGATTGCAGGCGTGAGCCACCATGCCCAGCCAGGGTCCTCTTCTTACATAGTACGTATTGAACCATCACACCAACATTGTATCTGATTGTTGCATTAGAAAATTTTTTTTCTGGAAAATATAAATATTTTTATTGAATTAGCCTAGGAAATCTAGGTAGATCTGAAACATATTCTCCTCTGAGCTGTTTTATATGACTGTGTTTCAAGTCATTTCTAATTTCTCTGTCTCTTTTTTCCAGCCAAACTGCGCTCAGTATAAATTACCAGGATGTCCCAGGGACTTTAACCCTGTGTGTGGCAGTGACATGTCCACTTACCCCAATGAATGTATTCTGTGCATGAAAATCAGGTAACGTGATTTTATAACTGTAAAATTTTTCATTTCTTTGTGTTTTTTTCTTTGTTTGTTTCTTTGTTTTTTGAGGTAGAGTCTCCCTGTCACCCAGGGTGGAGTTCGGTGGCGAAATCTTGGCTCACTGCAACCTCCGCCTTCTGGGTTCAAGCAATTCTCGTGTCTCAGCCTCCCAAGTAGCTGGGATTACAGGCACGCCCCACCATGCCCAGCTGATTTTTTTTATTTTATTTTTAGTAGAGACAGGGTTTCACCATGTTGACCAGGATGGTCTCGATCTCTTGACCTCATGATTCACCCGCCTCGGACTCCCAAAGTGCTGGGATTACAGGCTTGAGCCACCACGCCTGGCTAAATTTTATTTTTAATTCAAAGGGCATGTGTGGGTGGTCTGCACACCCTGTACTACTAGTCAGGAAGTAGGACTTACTGACTCTACTTAGTGGAATGCTAAGTAATGAGTGTATTATACTTGATACGCTTCATGTAGCACACCTGACCAGGTCACTGTGACTGCTCCTTCAGGTATGCAGCTTTGTATAGAGCAGGGATTCATTATCTGAGTTCAGTTGGTCTTTGATTCTTTTTTTTTTGAGACTGAGTCTGACTTGTTGCTTGGCTTACTTCAACCTCTTCCTCCCAGGTTCAAGCAATTCTCCTGCCTCAGCCTCCCAAGCAGCTGGGATTACAGGCACGTGCCATCACGCCTGGCTAATTTTTGTATATATATATTTTTTTTGATTTGGAATTTTGCTCTTGTTACCCAGGCCGGAGTGCAATGGCACGATCTCGGCTCACTGCAACTTCCGCCTCCAGGGTTCAAGAGATTTTCCTGTCTCAGTCTCCCAAGTAGCTGGGATTACAGGCATGAGCCACCATACCCAGCTAATTTTTGTATTTTTAGTAGAGACAGGGTTTCACCATATTGGTCAGGCTGCTCTTGAACTCCTAACCTCAGGTGATCCACTCAATTTGGCCTCCCAAAGTGCTGAGATTACAGGCATGAACCACCACACCTGGTCTAATTTTTGTATATTTAGTAGAGATGGGTATTCCCCATGTTGGCCAGGCTGGTCTCGAACTCCTAACCTCCAGTGATTCACCCACCTCAGCCTCCCAAAATGCTGGGACTACAGGTGTGCTCAGCCCTCTGAGTGATTCTTTGGGGTTAGTGTCCTGTACCTTAGGGTTAGGGAAAAAATGGCAGAGTGGGGACTTTCACCCTGTTTACTAGACTTAGCTTTAAAAAATGATAAAGTGTAGCCCTGAAGGAATCTAATGTGTAATTACATGGGTCCTTTTAATACCAACAGTGAGGCAGTTTCAGTATGATAGGTAATAATTGTGTTTCTATGATTGTTCAATTTGCAGGGAAGATGGTCATGATATTAAAATCATCCGAAATGAACCCTGCTAATGGAGCAGTTTACAGAAAAGAAGATGGAGAGACCACCTTGACCGGCACACTGGATAAATTGCATTTCCTCTTTTTCTCTTTTCCTGTTTCTTTGCATGAGATTTGTTAATCCACATTTTCTGAGAGGAGATATGGAAGACAGCCATGTGCAGTGATGGATAACTTAAAGAAAAAAAGCATCTTCGTTTCTTGGCTTTTGCTCCTAGAGATAAGCTTACTGCCTAGATGACTTGTGCATTGGTTTATTCAGTTGAAATAAAATCAGCATTGAATTCACTTCTTACTGTTCTCTGTTGAAAATGCTGTTCTCTTTTCAGGGGAGGCATAATTTTACCTCTATCCTTTAAGAGTTTTTCAGCTGGGTCAGAGAATTAAATGAACATAAGACAGATCAACAGGAGAAAAGCATACAGACTTATTTAATACAAGTTTCACTTGGCATGGGAGTCTTCATAAAGAAACGCTCAAAGACACAGTGGAACACTTACATGCTGAATTAGACAAACAGTAGTGAATTATGAAAGTGTGGCATGGTAGAGGGGCTTGGGCTGAGTTAATTGGATGGAGAAGTGGCTGGGAGGATAAAGTTTGTTTGTACACATTTCCCTTGACCTCAATTTCCAATTTTCCCCAGTCCTTGATGATAAGAATGTTACTTTACTTCTGGCATAGGGAGGATATCTTTCACATGGGAATTTTATCTCCTGCTTTTAAGAAACAAAGTCAGAATGACCTTCTTGCACCTGCTGTTCTTCAAATGTTTTTAACACAAAATAGTCAATATTGCCAGGGCAGCATATTTTGGGTTGGCATATTCTTTTTTTTTTTTTTTTTTTTGAGATGGAGTTTTGCTCTTGTTACCAGGCTGGAGTGCAATGGCGCGATCTCGGCTCACCGCAACCTCCGCCTCCTGGGTTCAGGCAATTCTCCTGCCTCAGCCTCCTGAGTAGCTGGGATTACAGGCACGAGCCACCATGCCCAGCTAATTTTTTGTATTTTTAGTAGAGACAGGGTTTCACCATGTTGACCAGGATGGTCTCGATCTCTTGACCTTGTGATCCACCCGCCTCAGCCTCCCAAAGTGCTGGGATTACAGGCTTGAGCCACCGCGCCCGGCTGGGTTGGCATATTCTTAACACCTTCGTCACTCAGCAGCCTCACATGGCTCTGTTCCTCTCAGCCATGGATGAATTTCAGTAGGTGAGAAGTGGAGTTGTTGAGAGGGTAAGATCTAACGCCTTTCCCTAATGTGTAATTGGTACAGTGTTCTGCACATGGCAAGTAACTGCAAGATACTTGTATCTAACATTAGCCCAAACTAGTAAAGAATCAATGGAGATACAAATATTTATTAGATTAAAAATTTCCTTTCGATACAGTTTTCATTCTGAGTTCACACAGGAGTTTGGCTTTTCTTACATCAGTGGTTCTCAATCCAGGGTGGTTTTCCCCAAGAGGACATTTAGCAGCACATCTGGAGGCATTTTTGGTGTAACAGCTAAGGTGTGGAGTGCTACCCGGGGATGTTTCTAAACAACTTGCATTGCATAGGCAGCCCCCAACAGCAAGGAATTTTCCAGTCCAACCTCAATAGTGCTAAGGTTGAGACATCCTGGTTTAGAGTTTGATACAGCATAAGCGTTTTATAACAATAACGTAAGTGACCAGGGATTCAGAATGATAGCATCTTCCAGGTAGAGAATTTTGAGTCATGAGGCCTGGGTTTAAGTCTGTTTCAGCACCAGGACATGGAGAGACACGATGCAAGAGGTGGCTGGGAGAGTGGTATAGTGGGAAGAACATGGCTTTTGGGGGTGAGCTAAATATGAGTTCATTTTGGTTACAATTCTTGTGCTTCCATTTTTCATATGTGAAAATGGAGTTGATGCTTAGCTCCTGGAGCTTTGGTGAGGAAACTGCTTAGCATAGTGCTTGGCATATAGAAACCACTGAAATAGATGCTACTGTTGCTTCACGCACCTCTCCTAGAGAGGAGAAAACAGGCCCACAAAGACAAACACATTGGCTTAAGGTGATAGAACAAATTTAAAACTGAGCCTGGGCCTCCTATGGTGGCTCATGCCTGTAATCCCAGCACTTTGGGAGGCTGAGGTGGGCAGATCACAAGGTCAGGAATTCAAGACCAGTCTGGCTGATATGGTGAAACCCCGTCTCTACTAGAAATACAAAAATTAACCAGGCCTGGTGGCACGCACCTGTGGTCCCAGCTAGGTGGGAGGCCGAGGCAAGAGAATCACTTGAATCCAAGAGGTAGAGGTTGCCAGCTTGGGTGGCAGAGTTAGACTCTGTCTAAAAAACAAATAACAAAAAAACAAAACAAAAAAAATACACAAAACTCAGCCTGGTCTAGGAGCCTGGACCTGCACATTTTAAGTCCTCTATTTTTATACAAAATAGGGTCAATGAAGTGGAAAACTGTATAGCATAAATGTACCACAATTATTGTCCTGTAATTATTTTTAGCTTAAAATTTTTATAGAAGTCATAGATGCTTTTTGGAAAATTAAAAAGAAAAATACAGGCCGGGTGCAGTGGCTCAAGCCTATAATCCCAGCACTTTGGGAGGCTGAGGCGGGTGGATCACGAGCTCAAGAGATCGAGACCATCCTGGTCAACATGGTGAAACCCCGTCTCTACTAAAAATACAAAAAATTAGCTGGGCGTGGTGGCACGTGCCTGTAATCCCAGCTACTCAGGAGGCTGAGGCAGGAGAATTGCCTGAACCCAGAAGGCGGAGGTTGCGGTGAGCCGAGATCGTGCCATTGCACTCCAGCCTGGGTAACAAGAGCAAAACTCCGTCTCAAAAAAAAAAAAAGAAAGAAAAAGAAAAATACAGACCAAGTGCAGTGGCTCACACCTGTAATCAATCCCAGCACTTTGGGAGGCTGAGACAAGAGGATCACTTGAGACCAGGAGTTCGAGACCAGCCTGTGCAACACAGGAGACCCAGTCTCTATTAAATAAACAAATAGATACAGAAGTATATAAAAAATAGAGTGAAAGTCTTACCCATCCTAGCCTCCAGAGACACTTAAAACTGTTTTGAAATGTCTTTTCTCTCTAAATATATGTGTATACAAAATTACACACATGCACACACACAACTGTCCTGTAAACTTGCTTTTACTTTTAAATATTGGGTTTGTTTTCATGTGGATATATATTGTTTCTTCTTCTTTTAAAAAAATTTATTATTATTATTATTATTATTGTTATTATTGTTATTTGAGACGGAGTTTCGCTCTTGTTACCCAGGCTGGAGTGCAATGGCACGATCTCGGCTCACCGAAACCTCCGCCTCCCGGGTTCAGGCAATTCTCCTGCCTCAGCCTCCTGAGTAGCTGGGATTACAGGCACGTGCCACCATGCCCAGCTAATTTTTTTGTATTTTTAGTAGAGACGGGGTTTCACCATATTGACCAGGATGGTCTCGATCTCTTGACCTCGTTATCCACCCGCCTCAGTCTCCCAAAGTGCTGGGATTACAGGCTTGAGCCACCGCGCCCGGCCTATTATTATTTTTTGAGACTGAGTCTTGCTCTGTTGCCCAGGCTGGAGTACAGTAGCATGATCTCTGCTCACGGCAATCTCTGCCTCCCAGGTTCAAGCTATTCTCCTGTCTCAGCCTCGAAAGTAGCTGCGATTACAGACATGCCCAGCTAATTTTTCTATTTTTAGTAGAGATGGCGTTTTACCATGTTGGCGAGGCTCATTTGGAACTCCTGACCTCAAGTGATCTGCCTGCCTTATTGTCCTCCCAAAATGCTGGGATTACAGGCGTGAGCCACCATGCCCAGTCTTTTAAACAGCTACACAGTATTCTGCTATTGGGACATAATTTATCCACTTTCTTTTTGTTTGTTTGTTTGTTTGTTTTGTTTTGTTTTTTGAGACTGAGTTTTGCTCTTGTTACCCAGCCTGGAGTACAATGGCGCGATCTCGGCTCAGCACAACCTCTGCCTCCTGGGTTCAAGCAGTTCTCCTGCCTCAGCCTCCAGAGCAGCTTGGACTACAGGTGTGTGCCATCATACCCAGCTAATTTTTGTATTTTTAGTAGAGACGGGGTTTCATCTTGTTGACCAAGATGGTCTCGATCCCTTGACCTCGTGATCCACCCGCCTCGGCCTCTCAAAGTGCTGGGATTATAGGAGTGAGCCACCGCGCCCGGCCCTAATTTATCCACTTTCTATTGACCTATATCTGGATTATTTATTAGGATTCTCTTGATTGAAAGTGGGAAATTCGAAGTCAAACTTGTCTAAGCTAAAAGGGGAATTCATTTCCTCCTTGATAGAGTGAAGTGACTAAGCCCATTGACTCAAAGCTAGATGTTTACATTCACTGACCCAGTTACTGGGTGACTCAGCTTCCACATTTATAAAGTGGGGAAGATAATAGTATCTACTTAAGATAATGCATGTAAGGTACTTAGGACACTTGAAATGTTGGCTGTATTATACAAAACTATACTTTAAAAAAACAACTTCCTTTTCTGACGTAATATTAATGGATATTTTTCCAAGTCTATACATTTAGATCTATGTCATTAAAAACACTTGCATAGCATTCTGTTATATGGACATACCATAATTTGTTTATTCGGTCTCATCCTGATGGACATTTAAGTTATTTCTCATTTTTACTATCACAAATAATTTCTTTTTATTTATTTATTTATTAAATGAAAACTTTTCTTTTGTTAGAGATGGGTCTCACTATGTTGTCCAGGCTGGAGTGCAGTGGCTATTTACAGGCAAGATACCGCTACTGATCAGAACCGGAATTTTGACCTGTTCTGTTTCTGACCTGGGCCGGTTCACCCCTTCTTAGGCAACCTGTGGTCCCCTGCTCCCAGAAGTTCACCATATTGATGCTGAACTTAATGTGGACACCCATAGGCATAGTGCCCTACAGCCCAGAATACCTGGTCACAAGCAATCCTCCTGCCTCAGCCTCTTGAGTAGCTGGGACTACAGGCATGCACCACCACGCCTAGGTTTTATGTCTTTGTACACATGCCCTTCCTTGTTTGTGCACATTGTGTAGGATAAATTCATAAGACTGGCATTACTTTGTCAGAAGATACATAAATTTAAAACATGGAAAGGGATTGCAAAACCTTTCTGAAAAGGATACACCTGTCTGCATCCTCCATGACAAATGAGTGCTTGGTTCTTCTTTCTACTACCATTGAATTATAGAAGCAGTGCTGCCCCGAATCTGCTCAGTCAGAGTTGTTCTGCAAACTCAGTTTG